TTCTATAAAAATTATTTGCATTCCGATCTTGACATCAAAAGGCACAAAAATATTTTTTTCTTTTATTCCATGGATTTTACCCATTTATCTCCACTTGTTGACAGGGTTTTTCTGCAACCACTATGCGCGCGCAGCTGCAAGTGACGTAACTGTGACGTCTACTCTGAATTGGTCTATAGTGAAAAGCCAAATGAGCACCTTGAGTTTGCAGGGGAGAAGAATGGAGAATTGGAGAACAAATAGGACACCGATACAAGGAGGCACATATCCTGACATGTACAGAGGTGTAGTGTGTCAAAACACTGTTTTAAGTCCGCTTGTGCTGCACACTCAACTTTACTTTTGTTATTAGGGTATTTTGTCATTTAGCATTTGAGATGGTTGTAAAATAGCCTATATCTATTTCTGTCTTGTTTTTTATGTGGATATATTCCAGTGTTTATGGCCCTGTCTTGTATTTAGGGGCAAGTTTGTCTCCTATGGAGTAGCTAGGGTTAGGGTTATTTCAAATCTTTTCATTTGAACCTGTTAGAAAACAAAGAAGCACAGAAGGTAAAAACAGGAAAAATGTTTGAATTGATTTTCCCAGTAATATAATCATTAATTATCATGTGACTCTTGATTTTAAAAAAGATGGCTGCTTCTGAGGATCCGTCACATTAACTTGCTATTAATAATAGTTTACCAGTTACAGTCTTTAGTAAGACAATTATGATTTGAAAAGACTCGACCTACCCGCATGAGCAAAAACACTGAATGTCTTTGACATCTTCTGTCCCTCACTGATGATCTAGTTTATTATATTCATAGTGTTCAGGTGAGATGTTTCTGATGGTCAGAGATCCAGTATTGTGGTCCAGTTTTAAACTGTCTTTGAATCTTTATTCATCACGTAGGGTTTCCTCATCATTGCTTTTATCCCATTTTATCCATAGCATAATTGCGTTCTTTGGAATCAGCAAACTTCCATATCAGCTCATTTTCCTGTATTAACATCAGTGTGTAGAGTGACAGATTTTCCTTCCACCACTAACACTGTCTTAATTTCATCTTTCAAACATGTATATGTATATGAGATCTTGTCCAGCAAACCTTCAGACTTCCTACTCTTCACAATAAGTTTCATCTTAATTTCAGTTATTGCCAGTGAATAGTTGCTGAGACTGCAGTTATAATTTGGTCTTTGCAGTTTGAAGATAAGTCAAATACTCATCATATAGGCCAATAACAATCACTAGCGTATGCTTTAGAAACTGTTTGACAAAACTAAAGTCTTCTGGAAACTTTTGTCATGAGGGTCTCCAGTTAATGCATATCAAAAACCAACAGCCTAGGAGCTGTTTAAAAAGAAAATGCTTAGGTTTTTCAGAAAATAGCAGGAAAAGTCATCGTGAAGAATTTCAAAATATCTGAAGAAAGAGGTTTAATGATTCTTTTTGTTTTCCTCCCACAGAACAACATTAGTCCAAATAAGTTAAATTTAGCGATGCAGCGAAATACTTTTTTTTTTTTTTTTTTACTGAAACACAGAAACTGAACGTTTTCATTTAGAAACCCGAAACCAAAAATAGTTTGAAAAAGAGTAATAAATCAAATTTAATAAATAATCAACTCTCAATTAAAAAAAAAAGTTGTATACAAACATTTAAATCGCAAATAAGACGATATGAACATAATTATGTTTCTTCAATTCATTGTTAAAATATAAACATTTAAAAGGTGGCTATACTAAAAACTTGTTTTCATGACATTTATTCTTATTAAAGTAATAATAAAGTAAAGTAGAAGACTTTTTTTTTTAATTAATACATTTTTTGTTGTTGTTGTTTCGGCCGAAAATGTTCAGTTGCCAAAATTCCGGTGCAACGCTAGTTAAACTGTACCTTACTATTACTAGCAGTAAGTTCTTCTCAAGTTGGGCTGCACTTTATTTAAATACAAAAGTAGGAGTAAATATCCCCCAATAAAGCTCATACTGTATGTTTTGTGTGTGTGTACCTGTTTTTCTATTCTGGTGGGGACTTAAACCTGAATACACACAGACTCATGGGGACTCGTGTCACGGTGGGGACCTAAATTGAGGTCCCCACGGGTAAACAAGCTAATAAATCACACAGAATGAAGTTTTTTGAAAATCGAAAAATGCAGAAAGTTTCCTGTGAGGGGTAGGTTTAGGGGTAGGGTTGGTGTAGGGCAATAGAATATACGGTCTGTACAGTAGAAAAACCATTACGCCTATGGAGAGTCCCCACAAGGATAGCAAACCAGACGTGTGTGTGTGTGTGTGATTACCTGTTGATTTAGTTACCAACATTCCTTAAAATATCTTCTTTTCTGTTCAACAGAAGAAACTCATACATGGTTAGAACAAATTGAGGGTGAGTCAATGAAATGCATTGATAGGATGTCCTACCTGCCTGTATTTGCATACCTTCATGGGAGAGTCTGGTGCGTGGCTATAGCCTAGAACAGTGGTTCCCAACCCTGGTCCTGGAGGCACCCCAACACTGAAGAACTGTACTGCAATTCCACCTAATGTCCACATGAGCTTGATATGACTCCACTAATTTTGCACATGGGAAATTTACGTTAAAATCACACGCGAAACCTGTACTTGGAATGTTTTCATTGTATAATTGTGTTAAACTCTTTCCCGTATAAAATCTATGAGATTACATTTGAAACCCATCAAAAATCTCATAATGGAACAGGGACGCGGGAAGTAGGGGTGCTGAGGGGGCTGCAGCACCCCGTTTTCACATGGTTGCAAATGCTACGCCAAGTTTGTTCATTTTTAAATTTTCAGTTTTAGCATTTAATCATTTATTTGTAATGATCTCTGAAATGTAAATTGTAAGTGGGCTATAATAAACCCATGTTTATCTTTATAAACATGATTAATTTTTAATCATGATTATAATATATGCACGCCAAAATCAATTTTTGCGTATCAATACCAAGAGTTTTCGTTTTTATTTGGCGTACTATTTATACGCATTTTCATGAGACCGGGCTCAATGGGGTGCCTCCAGGACCAGGGTTGGGAACCACTGGCCTAGAAGGCTGAGCCAGAGAGCGTTTAGCCGGTGTGAAAAAACTAATTTAGATTCTGTTACAGAAGTGCAAGCCAAAATACACAGAGACAGAAAATGGGGTAAAACGTGGGTAAACACTGGCAGTGTTTATACATAACGGAGGAATTTGATGGGATGTTAGGGTCTCAATCGATACGACGAATCTCAATTCTTCTCAACTGGTAATCCTAATATGTTGGACTTTTTTTGAAATAACCCTGCTTTACCTGTTGGGACATGCCTTCACTTCTATAGACCCGTAAGTGCTGCGTTTGTGATATTTGGGGGAGGCATGACGCATGAAAAAGGATGTTTGCAAAGGTTGTTTGAAACATGCTGTTATTTTAGTTTTTCCACTAGATGACACTAAGTGCAGAACATGCCTACCCTGGATTTAATGACATGTATAATATTACAACATTTCAAACAAACGTGGCAACATGTAGGCCTCCCAATAAAAATGAGACAATATTGTGGCCTGACATTCATGAAAAATAAATTTTTTTTCAGGAACACAAGAAATTGATGTAGATGAATAGCTATCATTTCTGCATACACATATATATATATATATATATATATATATCTTCATTTTAAAGTTGAGAAAATAGCAAAAGAACTGTACTGCAATTCCACCTAATGTCCACATGAGCTTGATATGACTCCACTAATTTTGCACATGGGAAATTTACGTTAAAATCACACGCGAAACCTGTACTTGGAATGTTTTCATTGTATAATTGTGTTAAACTCTTTCCCGTATAAAATCTATGAGATTACATTTGAAACCCATCAAAAATCTCATAATGGAACAGGGACGCGGGAAGTAGGGGTGCTGAGGGGGCTGCAGCACCCCCTGTTTTCACATGGTTGCAAATGCTACGCCAAGTTTGTTCATTTAAATTTATTCAGTTTTAGCATTTAATCATTTATTTGTAATGATCTCTGAAATGCAAATTGTAAGTGGGCTATAATAAACCCATGTTTATCTTTATAAACATGATTAATTTTTAATCATGATTATAATATATGCACGCCAAAATCAATTTATGCGTATCAATACCAAGAGTTTTCGTTTTTATTTGGCGTACTATTTATACGCATTTTCATGAGACCGGGCTCAAACCACAAGGTAACAGCGACGGCTATTAACATAATTTCACTTTTACATGTGATTTCTATCATATTCAGCCGACTTCAGATGAATAGGCAAGAATTATACGAGTGAAACGCTAAAAACGTCTTGATTTAAATGCTAGGAAAACGGTAAATCCGGTCAAAATAAGCAAACGTTCAATTGGAACTTCCCAATATGGGATCTGTCATGGAGAAAATAGCAAATCCGGAAAAGTCCCACACTTACAACTGTCGACAGTGAATGTGTGTAGGAATAGGAACTGTAAGCGCTGCCAATAGGTCAGAGTTCAAGGTTACATTTTGTGGAATTGGAAGTGATAATGTTTACAATTGTACACACTCATACACTATATATAGGCATTAGAGAGAGTGAGTTCCTGTGTTGAGTTACCAAGACAATGATTGAGATGTGACAGGATAAAAAGAATACCAGAAGTTTTATCATGCATAGAACTAGGCTCTTTCATTGCGTTTGATAGACACAACACAATAACATAAGACAGGTCTTTTATTATTATTAAAAAAAGTTGTATAAAATGTTTTGTTCTTAATGAGGCTGAAATTGAATTTCAATCAAAATTGCAGTCTCTCATTCACGGTTTGAAACAGCACAACATTTAGTTTGCCCACAAGAAGAAGCTGTTCAAACAACACTGTTTCTTTCACAAACAAAATCTCCCATCATTGCTGACACTGTCTTCAGTTCATCTGTCTCAGTCAAAGCTGCAAAAATATTGGTGCAATAATTTTTTTTTTTGATAGCTTTATATACTTTCAAAAAATATTTGTTGCACAATAATACAATTTAAAATGCTGTACAAATAATAAATAAAATATATTTATCTATATTCATTTTTTTTACAATAGGCCTACATAAATTGCAAAGACACTAAAATTACATAGTGAAAAAACGAAATAGTTTTGTTGTTCTTCCAGGACACCTTGTGAATGCATGAAAAATTATAAGGGGAAAGAATAAAATATAATACAAATGGATTTTTTTCAGAGCTTGCATACTGTGGGACAATGGTTTAGCTGTTTACTCTTGTGTTTACAGTAATTAGCCACTGTCTCCTGTCAGATAGGTGTAGTGTGACAAACTACTGTTTTATGTCAGCTTAAACTGCACACACACAAAGTATATTTGGGATTTTAGATGGCTGTATAAAAAAGTAGAACTATGTTCCATTGTTTTGGCAATTGAACTGACATGTGGATTATATATACTCCCATTCTGTTATCAAGGGCAAGTTTCTCTCCTCAGGATTGTACTCTGTCTTTTCTTTGGGACCTTAAAAAAAAAAGCAAAGGTTAAAAACAAGGAAAGAGTTTGATGTTCTCTGATTAATTTGGGATGCAGTGATGTATATATGGTGTGATTTACATGAATAAGGATGTGAAAGACTTGACATACTCACATGAGCAACAAGATTGAACGTCTTTGAGATCTTCTGTCCCTCACTGGTGATGTGCAGTTTGTAATGTCCATAGTGTTTAGGTGTGACGTTTGTGATGATCAGAGATCCAGTATTGTGGTCCAGATGCAACCTGTCTTTGAATTTTTTGTCATCATGTAGGTATTCCTCATTGTTTGTTTTATCCCATTTAGCTATGACAAAAAATTCAGCGAGTTTGTATACTTTGGAATCGGCAAACTTCCACCGTATCAGCTCATTTTCCTGTATTTCGGTGACATCAGTGTGTAGCGTGACAGTTTCTCCCACCATTGCTGACACTGACTTAATTTCATCTTTCTCCACAAAAGTATCTGAAAAAAGATAGGGATCAAATTTATCAGGATGATTCTTGTTGAACAAACCTCACTTGGCTTCCAACTGTCCACATGTTGTTTCAGCAATCAATTGTACTTATTTTCCTAATTTCAGTCATTGCCACTAAATTTGATAAACTAAATTTGATTGAAGATGTAGGTCAAAAATCATAAGCTTATATCTTAGAAATATACAAAAGTATGTACAATTAAACTTCTGATTACAAGGCTCTATACATTTTGCATGTTACATTTTTGTGTAAGTTGGACCAACGGCTTCGGTGGAATTTTAAAAAGTTGATTTTTTTAGAACAGTTTTAAAATGTAGAAAAAGTATTTTTGATTATTTTTTTCTTCCCACAGACCAGTGTGGCGTGCGATGGTGTTTTAAAATGAGGAGGCAGTTTTTATAATGCTAATGCATTATTAAAATCAAAAGTTGTGTTTGTTAACATTAGTTTATGCACTGTGAACTAACCTGAACAACAGTATTTGTATTAACTAATGTAAACAATCACCCTTTACAACATAAATCGTACATTCAGCTTGCCTTTTTATCCAAGAGGCTTCTAGAATAACTGAAGAATGGGTTCAGAGGAAAAGTTACTTTGACTGTTATGTTCAATACTGCAATGAAATCAAATTGGCATGCAACTAGAAAATGACTCACCAGAAACAATAATACTGAATTTTTTGGGTGTGACCTCTTTTCCACCAATGATCTGCAAAAATCCATAGGGTCCAGCATGTTGAGTTGTGGTGTTTGTGATGGTTAGAGATCCAGTCTGTTTGTCCAGCTTCAATCTGTCTCTGAATCTCCCGTCAAGAACATCATCATATATAGAGATCTTATTAACCAATCTGTTGATCTGAGCTATACGTGTGCTTTCAGGTCCAAACGTCCACAGTATCAGATCAGCTTTCTGTATTTCAGTAAGATCAGTATATAAAGTGACAGAATCTCCCTCCATCACTGACACTGACTTCATTTCATCCGTATAACCAAACACACCTGCAGAAGAGAGACCATTTTAGAGATTTAAGCTGAACAAATCCAACTGAGATCACTGAGTCTTGTTTAAGGATTATTATAGTCATAATGTATGGTGCTTATAGTATGGAGAAGAGTGGTGTGTGGATATCAAATCTTCACAGGTTCAGGCCACATTTCAAGTCCCGCAGGATATTTTGTGAAAACAGGAACAACAAAATGAAAAGTGGCCATAAGAAAAAGTGAGTTGCAGTTAAGATAACTGAATATTGAGTTAGTGAATATTGGACAGACAAACATCAGCACAAGCATTTTTTATTTATTTAAAGGTGCCATAGAATGCATTGATTGATACAATATTTTAAATTCTCTGATGTCCCCAGAGTGTGTATGTGAAGTTTTATCTCAAAATACCCCAAAGATAATTGTTTATAGCTTGTTGAAATTGCCACGTTTAGGGCATGAGCCAAAACGCGCTGTTTTTTGTGTTTGTCCCCTTTAAATGAAAATGAGCTGGTGCTCCCGCCTCCCTTTTCAGAAGAGTGCTGAGCTTCAAGAGGCCATGCTCCAGCATGACCGGTGTTACGGTTTAACTGGTGGTGACCGTGTTACTGACCTCACATTGCTTCCAAATGCAATCAAGTCAGTCGGCGATCGGTTTGCGCGGCGCCGCATGAAGTCGAACGCACCTTATGCTTCTCACTCAGGGCTGTGTATGCTAATAGGGCAGAGAGCATCACTAATGGGCTGGACTTTCCCCGACTATGACGTCATAGTAGTGAGAAAACTGGAACTGCTAGTGTGGAGAGACTGTTTATGATTTATTGGGATTATAAAACAATGAGTGGGTGGATTTTTACCCTTATAGGCTGGTTGTTTTCACACACTGCGGCCACACAACTGTGTTCAAACACCTTATAAAAGTGATTTTTGCATTCTATGGCACCTTTAAGCTCCAGAACAAAACATTACTTCAGAAATTAAATATATGAATATTATATTATATACAGATAATTTTTTAGATAGTCTCGAAAACCCATTTAAATCTACTCACCGTCCACGAGTAACGTAACAAAAAATAAAACAAACGTCTTCATATTTCTGTACAAGATCAGTAAAAGTTGTCCATTGTAGTTGTTAAACCGTTCCGTTGAGTCTCAACGCGTTCGATCAGTTCGTCCAATCAGTTTCTAAACGAGCTAAACCGCAGGGAGACAGCGACGATCCTAAACATAATTTTGTAATATGTGTCACCGGCTTCAGCTCAGTCGGTCGCGTTTATACGAGTGAAACACGAAATGTTCTTGGAAAATCAGTAGGCTAAATCCGATCAAAATAAGGAAGTAAATACATTGAACCTTTAAAGTGGAATCTGTCATGGAGAACATATCTGATCTGCGGCGCCAGAAAATCCCACACCGAGTTGTGCAATCGGAAAATCAGTAGGCTAAATAAGGAAGTAAATACATTGAACCTTTAAAGTGGAATCTGTCATGGAGAACATATCTGATCTGCGGCGCCAGAAAATCCCACACCGGAGTTGTGTAATATTCAGTTCCTGTGGAAAAACTGCTGGAGTGGGTGGAGTTTATGTGAATAGTCGTTAGTTCCCCTGTTGTGGGCGTGTCCTTGAAACAACGCGCAAACAAACGGAACTGAAAGTATTAGTGCAAACTCCTCAAATCGCTACTTGTTTAATGGATTATTTTGAACTGGTAATGTAGTGTCAGTGTTACACGAAATGTTCTTGGAAAATCAGTAGGCTAAATCCGATCAAAATAAGGAAGTAAATACATTGAACCTTTAAAGTGGAATCTGTCATGGAGAACATATCTGATCTGCGGCGCCAGAAAATCCCACACCGAGTTGTGCAATATTCAGTTCCTGTGAAAAACTGCTGGAGTGGGTGGAGTTTATGTGAATAGTCGTTAGTTCCCCTGTTGTGGGCGTGTCCTTGAAACAACGCGCAAACAAACGGAACTGAAAATATTAGTGCAAGCTCCTCAAATCGCTACTTGTTTAATGGATTATTTTGAACTGGTAATGTAGTGTCAGTGTTAAGCATTGATTCATTAATTGCAACAGTGTCAACACAATGCAGTTTGTGTAATACGATCAATCGTCTGTAAGCTGTTTTGCTTGATTGATTACAGGCACACAGCAAAACAATAAGCGAATAACCTATGCTAACCTTGGGTAATATAGGTTCTTATTTTTTGATGTGTTAAGCTTTTTATACATTTAATTTGTGGGGCATTAATTGTTGTTTGGATAGTTTGATTAGCCTATAGTTAGGCTACTGGTGACTATTACTGCAGTGTGTTCACAACAATGCTTGAAACAAATATATATGTCGCCTAATAAATATTTATTGATTTATTTTTTCAGAAAACATATAATACAAACATCAGGGAAAATCTTTGACAACATTTACACTTACATCAACAACAAGATAAACCTGGGTTTATGCTCACATGAAGAGAAAAGCATCATAATAAAGTTAACGTGTCTTTAAACACATCATCATAAAGAAAAAAAAATCACTTTTTTTTGTTTTTTATAAATCTAAGAGATGAAATTACAGAGTTGAATTCAGCAAGGAAAAGTGTAAGACACAAAGAGGACTTACACCATTTTTGCTTATGGATAAAGAATTTTGCATACAAAATAAATAAATTAACAACATATTCAAAAGAAACGTGTTTTGGGTTTCCATAATAACAAATAATATCTTTGAAGGCAAAATGGTACACCTCATTCACAGCGCCAAAAATATAAAAACTTAAATCAACCCAAAATGTGTTCGTAATGCTACAATAAAAAAAACAAATGGGCAGCTGTTTCATCTATAAGACCACAAAATGAACAATTCTCATCAATGTCAGAATATTTAGAAATGGAAGAGTTAACGGGATAGATTTTGTGAAGGATTTTATATTGGACTTCCTTAACCTTGTTAGATATACAAAACTCACTGGGCAAAAGCCAAGCTTTTTTCCAATTTATATCAGTTATGAACGAATTCCAATAGAATTGACCTCTTGGAGTAATCTTTCTTTTTTCTTGAAAAAGCTTTGTCTGTTCACTTATCTAAAAAGTTAATGCCACCCAAAAACAAAACAGGATACACAACATTACCCTTACTATACATTAAGTGATTTCTAACTAATTGAATTAAACTGTCGGTATAGCTTTTATTCATGTATTGTATTCTTTTGGTGGAACAGGGAAGCCATGGCGATTAAGAAATTGCCCATAAGTTAAAATATTGCCAACATCATCTAACACCGAATACAATTAAGATCGTTGTTAAACCATTTAGAGAAAAAAAGGAACTTATTTCTGACAGTTATATCAGCATTGTTCCAGAGGAAAATTTTGTGTGGAGAAAAACTATGGACAAAACACAGTTTCCAAGAAAGAAGACATTGTTGATGAAAATTAGATAAGGCAATGGGTAACTTGCTGGGTGAAAAATTGCATTTCAATAAGAAGGACAGACCACCAAGTTTCTTAAATATATTATTTGGAATGAAAAACCATAATGACGTCGGATTTGCAAGGCATCTCTTTAGCCAGTTTATTTTATGGTGTCCGCGAAATCTAAAAAATCAAGGCCACCCTCACCTCTAGATTTAGAAAGAATTTCTTTCTTTATTTTGTGGGGCCTATTATTCCAGATGAAATCCAAAAATAATCTATTAACCTCCTTTATAGTCTTGTCATTAATATATAGGGAAATGGCAGGGTATACAAAGCGAGAGAATCCCTCTACCTCAGACAAAAGGACTCTACCAAACAACGAAAGATCTCTCTGAAGCCAAATGTTAAAGATGTTTTTAGTTTTTATCAGTTTCTCATAAAAATTTAAAGGATGCCTGGTTATTGGGTTTTTAGTAATATGAACACCCAAATATTTTACACAGTTTTTAACTGGGATATTTTCTAAAGATGTGCTATCCATGTCATGAGTTGGAATAATTTTGCATTTTGAAATATTTATTTTTAGACCAGAGGCACACGGAAATTGTTCAACTAACTCCAAAGCTTTAGGCAACTGCCTTTTATCCTCCAAAAACAATGTGGTGTCATCAGCTGCACTCTAAAAAATGCTGGGTTAAATAGGGACAAACCCAGCAATTGGG